CACTGTCACATTAGCTTGATCATCTGAGCCTGATCATTCATTGCTTTCGACACGTGCCATCTTCAAAGGATCACTTTAAGTTAAGCTTCTTTGTTTCTGTCATTCCGTATTGGAATTCTCTCCTTTCCGCTGTACATAGTTTATTGCAAATTTGAGGCTTTTTCTACTGTCATCTGCAGTGTTGATAAGCCTATTTGATCAACTTTGTCTCATTCCGTCTTCATTATAGTCTTGTACTTTTGAGGATTAATATATTCATGAGGTTTACACAATAATGTTGGCCAAAAACAGGAACAGGGGTACATCTAAATTTAGATACTAAATTATCAATTAACAACAGCATCAACAGATCCTTGTAGTCATAGATTTAATGTAGTATAGATATCAAAAAGGAATAGTCATACCTATTTTGGTATTTTGGTCGGTACCTATTGAGGTAACCTTGTAAATATTAGTCTGCAAAGTTCGAAAGGGACTATTGAAGATGGAAAGAAACAAAGGTGATCAAATAGACAGATCGAGAAGTAGAGAATAGTTATGAGAGTAATTCTGTAAGTTTTAGGTTAAGCCTTAATCCGGGTTAGCTTAACCCCGAGCCATGAGGGGGTTAAGCTAACTACGTTAAGACTCGTGTAGACGCGCGTGAAATCATTAACTCGAGCTAAGTGGTAATTATCAGTAGACCGAATAGGCGGCGACACATGCAATGTTGACATCCGGGTTACTTCCTTTCCACGACTTTTCAAGATTCACAGATTTGCATATTTGTAACTTTTTGCGATATTTACAATAATATACGGATCACGGCACGAAGAAATAACTGGAAAAAAGATGAGGTACAAGTTACTCGGTACATGCGTATACTTGCATACCGCAGTAAACCCGATCTCCCACTAGCTGCTGTTGGATTAACCTGGGTTAAGACAAACTCCGTGTGGACGATACGTGTTTCTGAACTCGGGTTAAGTGTTAACTCGGGTTAGCTTAACTCGGGTTAAGGTGACTCCGTGTAGATGAGCATTTATAACTCACACATGCGCAGTAATGAAACTATGGAGTTTGCTAACTTTCAAAAACGTTCCTCCTTTCGAAATTAGTATAAACTAACGTAACTTAGATAACGTAAAAACTTCAGACATATGATTGAAAGGTTGATAGAACGTTGATAAACTGATCACCTCGTTGCCTTTTCCATATAGTGTAAACTCAGCTTAAGCTGAAGGTAGTTGCTGATTAACGTTGATTTTTTTTCCCCACAGGAAGTCGAACAACAGACGGGAGAACCTGCGCGGGGGAAGAAACTGCTTAGCTTCCCACCCGTGTGATGGAGTCTTCCCACTTACATGTACCGCCTGCAGAAGGAGAGAAACTGCACGCGTGTGATATGTGTGGACACAGATTCGCGCTAGAGACGCATCTGCAGACACATGCGCTCATTCACTCGGGAGAGAAACCCTATGTGTGTATTACGTGTGACTATAGATGCTCTCAGATGTGTGAGCTGAAGCGACACAAACGCACCCATACAGGAGAGAAATCCTACGTGTGTGATATTTGTTCATATTCGTGTTCCAACTCAAGTAGCCTAAAGATTCACTTTCGAACTCACTCGGGTGAAAAGCCCTATGCATGCGACACATGTGAGTACAAATGTACATCATCCTCTATTCTCCAGAGACACAAGCTCACTCACACAGGAGAGAAACCATACACGTGTGACATGTGTGACTATAGCTGCTCTCGAATGGCTACACTCAAGCAACACAAACGCATTCATACCGGAGAGAAACCCTATGTGTGTGATACATGTGGAGACAGGTACACTAAACTAGCCAGTCTTAAGACACACGTGCGAACTCACACCGGAGAGAAATGCTATGCATGTGAGACGTGTGAGTATAGCTGCTCTCGGATGCGTACTCTCAAGCGCCACAAACGCATTCATACAGGAGAGAAACCCTATGTGTGTGACATTTGTTCATATTCATGTTCTAACTTAGGTTACATGAAGGTGCACTTTCGAACTCACTCGGGCGAAAAGCCGTATGCATGTGACACATGTCAGTACAAATGTACGTCATCCAATTCTCTCAAGCAACACAAGCACATTCATACAGGAGAGAAACCCTATGCATGCGATATGTGTGACTACAGGTGCAATCAACCAGCAAATCTTAACAAACACAAGCGAGCTCACACAGGAAGAAAGCCGTATGCATGTGACAAATGTCAGTACAAATGCACGTCATCCAGTTCTCTCAAGCAACACAAGCACATTCATACAGGAGAGAAACCCTATGCGTGTGATATGTGTGACTACAGGTGCAATCAACCAGCAAATCTTAAGAAACACAAGCGAACTCACACAGGAGGAAAGCCCTAGGCATGTGATAACACATTGTCAATGATATAGTTACTGCTTGCACGTGATATGTGTGAATACAGTTGCTCTCCAGAAATCGCTGCTATTCTCATTTCTTGTTTTAATCAATCTCATCTTTTATTTTCCAATTGCTGATCAGTTCTCAGAAGTGCTTAGCACACTGTTACAGTAGTGGAGAACTCTGGCTCACTGTATATATTACTTCATGTTAATTCTCTTACATAATTATTGTTCTATTTGTATCTCTTTTGTCCTAGATTCTGTTGTCATTGCTTAAACAAGAATAAAACCGCATCAGACGTCAGAAAGCAATGAGTCTTATACTTATTTATATATAGATGTATAGATAGCTGCCAGTTTTTTATTTATTAGCTTACTTTGACATCGTCAAGATGAGCTATTGCCATGGGTCGTCGTACGTCGACCATCCTTCCATCAACATTTGGCTACGGTCAACGATAACTCAGGAACCGTTTGACCCACATGTTTGAAAT